GGAAATTGGTTGATCTTCCTCCTGGAAATAAACCGTTGGGTTCTAAATGGATCTTTAAGAGGAAAATGAAAGATGATGGCACTATTGACAAATTTAAGGCAAGACTTGTGGTCAAAGGGTATAGACAACGAGAAGGTCTTGACTATTTCGATACATACTCTCCAGTTACAAGAATTACGTCCATACGAACATTAGTAGCGTTAGCTGCAGTTTATGATCTTGAAATTCATCAAATGGATGTTAAGACAGCCTTCTTAAATGGAGAGTTGGAGGAAGAAATTTACATGGAACAACCTGAAGGGTTTGTGGTTCCAGGTAAAGAAAAGAAGGTCTGTAGACTTGTTAAGTCCCTTTACGGATTAAAACAAGCACCCAAACAATGGCATGCTAAATTTGACCAAACAATGTTGTCAAATGGATTTAAGATAAACGAATGTGATAAATGTGTGTACATTAAAAATGTTCCAAATCACATAGTCATTGTTTGCTTATATGTGGATGATATGCTCATAATGAGTAATGACATTTCCAACATAAATGCTACTAAACGTATGCTAACTAGCAAGTATGATATGAAAGACTTGGGAGTTGCTGATCTAATTCTGGGAATTAAGATCCATAAGACTTCTCAAGGTCTAGCATTGTCACAATCTCATTATATTAAGACAGTACTTGAAAAATTCAAGCACTTGGGCTTTAAAGTTGCAAAGACTCCAATTGATGTGAATCTTGCATTAGCAAAGAACAAAGGCCAGAGCATATCAAAATTGGATTATGCTCGTGTGTTGGGTTGCTTAATGTACATCATGAATTGTACACGACCAGATATAGCTTGTGCTATAAGTAAATTGAGTCGATATACGAGCAATCCAGGCCAATCTCATTGGATGGCCATGAAACGAGTTTTGGGGTATTTAGTACATACCCAGGACTTTGCTTTGCACTACAATAAATATCCTGCGGTCATTGAGGGATACTGTGATGCAAATTGGATCACCGGATCAACTGATTCCTAGTCCACAAGTGGATATGTATTCACTATTGGTGGAGGAGCGGTATCTTGGAAGTCGTCCAAACAAACTTGTATTGCCCGCTCTACAATGGAGGCTGAATTCATAGCTTTAGATAAAGCCGGTGAAGAAGCTGAATGGCTCCGGAATTTCTTGGAAGATATTCCATTTTGGCCCAAACCGTTGGCACCAATATGGATACATTGCGATAGTCAAGCGGCAATTGGAAGTGCTGGGAGCGTTATGTATAACGGTAAATCTCGTCATATACGACGAAGACACAAAACCGTTAGGCAATTACTCTCTAGAGGAATTATCATGATTGATTATGTAAAATCAAGTGATAATGTATCGGATCCACTTACAAAAGGCCTAACTAGAGAGGTGGTTGAGAAATAATCAAGGGGAATGGGACTGTGGCCGAGAGCAATTACTCTCTAGAGGTCTACGCGTTTGCGAGGAGGGCGTCGCGTTCCCGATGTGTTGAGCTGGTTAAGGTACGCGTTTGCGAGTGGGGTATCGCGTTCGCGTAGAAGGATTTCCCGGGCTGAGGCAGCTGTGCTTCGCGAACGCGAGGGCACTACCGCGTTCGCGAAGAGGAAAATCAGGGCAGACAGTGTTATATTCAAGATCGAGGGTTTGAGCCCATTTTTCATATTTTGAGCTAGAGACCACGGATTTGGTCGATTTTTTTGAAGGCATTTTCAGGGAGCTGATTGGGGTAAGTGTTCCTCACTTGATTTTGGTTAAATTCCATGATTGTATCTTGATTTCTATCATCTAAATTGGGAATTGGGCTGAAAAATTAGGGGGGAAATGGAAGAGTTCTTGAGAGAGTAATTTGAGGATTTGTGGAACCAAATGAAGTCAGATTTTGATGAAATTGGTATGGGTAGACTCGTGAATGAATGGGCTTTCTAGTTTTGTAATTTTTTCGGATTTCGAGACGTGGGCTCGGGGCCGGGTTTGAGTGAATTTCAGAATTTGTGTCCATTTAAGTAGTTTTTCTGGTGGAATTGGTTCCTTGCCCTACATTGATTGCATTGTATTGCTTTTGGCTAGATTCGAGACGTTTGGAGGCCGATTCGAGGGGCAAAGGCATCGCGGAGTAGAGATTTGATCGGTTTGAGTTAGGTAACCATTGTAAATCCAGTCCTGAGGGTATGAAACCCCGGATTTTGTGTCATGTGACTATTTTGAGGTGGCGCACATGCTAGGTGACGAGCGTGTGGGTGTGCACCGTTGGGGATTGTGACTAGGTCCGTCCCGTATCTATTGTAAAACTGAATATTTTGTTGAAACTACATGCTTCTTACGTGTTTTAGAAAGAATTTCTGTAAATCATGCTGGATGCCATGTTTAGGCTTTATGCCAGTGTTGTTTGGACCCTTAAGGGTCTTTTATTACTATCCTCTCATTGTTTTCGATTGGAAATCTATACTCGGTCATATTTATACTTATTTACTGCATAACTCAGTCTCTATTACTCCGTTTTGATGCATCATATAAATGTTATTTGGGCTGAATACCTTGTTTTCAGAGAGCCCGAGAGGCCGGAGAGGTTATGACTGAGTGAGGCCGAGGGCTTGTTTTGTGAGGATATTTATGGGGTTGGGTTGCACGCCGCAGCACGTTTTACTGATTCATGACTGAGTGAGGCCGAGGGCTTGATTGATTTATGCCATGATTGGCTTGTTATAGCGCTTGGGTTGAAGGAGCCCCTCCGAAGTCTGCACACCCCTAGTGAGTGCATGTACCTATTGAGTGCGAGTGTCGAGTGCTGAGTGACTAGGAGGCATGAGTGATGGTGAGGTTCGCCCGAGGGGCCGTATACGAGCGATGGTGAGGTTTGTCCGAGGGGCTGTATATGAGTGATGTTTGCCCGAGGGGCTGTTTATGATTTCATCATTTTTGCTCACTTTTGCATTGAACCTTTGTTCGAAAACTGTTGAAAGATATTTTTAAATGATTTTACTGGAACTGTATTTAAACAAGCAGATTTGATTCAAACTAAGGTTTTAAAAGTGTGTCGTATTTTACTGAGTTTCTGTGATATGAACTTTACTAGGCAGTTTGACTTTTATTAAGTGATCTAAGCCAAAATTAAGAAAAGATCCCATACCCTAAACCCACTGAATTAGGGTTCTGAACTTGTAATTTAACCTATAACTCATTAGTTATTGGATTCACAGTTAAATATTTATATATATTTAGTTAATTTCCTAATATAAATACTGGGTCTAAACAAAAAACTATTGGATTCGTCAAATCCGTAGGTAACAGTAACACACTCCCTCCGCCCTTTCCCCTATTCTCTACACAAGCTGCATGTATTTGTAATAGTAATTATATTTACCTGTAATCCTGTCTTTCATTCTCTTGCTACCTCTGTGGAGTGCATCAAATTTATTTTTTGAAAGTTCACTTGGTCTCTCAATATTCTTTTTAAGCACTCATCCTTGTTAATAATCTGTATTCGAAAAAAGAATTCTGGAAATTTAAACGATAAAACGAGAAATGTAGAAAAAGGATTAATTCGAGCTCATGGAATTTACAATGTTTCTCTAAGAACTTAATCCCCTCCTATTACCCGAGGTTTAGGATTATTTCCCTCAAGGATAAAACAGATTACTTTTACTGGTGTTTTCAAACCCTAGTGACCAACGAGCTCAACGATCGGCAGCAATCACACTCAATTTAAGAGTTAGAAGAAGTGCATTTGTATAAATACCCAATAAATTCCTTTTGCTCCTCCAAAAAGTAGGGGTGTGCATTCGATTTATCGATTCATTTTGACCCTTATCGATAATTACTTATCGATTATCGATTTGTACATATGCTTATCGTTATCGTTTCAATAAGGTTTCGATTTTTTCGATTTCGATTTATCGATTTTGGGGGCTTATCGATTCGGTTACCGATTACACCAATAAGAAAATTTGCGGGATTCCACGGAAAGTATATCGCTATAAACGCGCCTAACTAATATGGACAAAAAGAAGCTAAAATAAGACGAACACCATTTATAATATAAAAATTGTGTCAACAAGCACATGCAACAAAACTAAAGTAAGGGATCAAATGTATGCCACCAACACTCCAACGGTATAAAAAAAAACAAAACAAAACAAAACACATCATCACGGCTAATTCTGTTTTCCATTAATTTGAACTTCATTCCCTTGATCTTTAAATATGATCATTCCTTAAATGTGGTAGAGGAAATAATAGGGTAAGGGACTTAGGGTAAAGGAAAGGGTATAGATTAGGGAAAACAATATTGTATAGCCGCTTTCAAAATAGTAGCGGAATATATATACATTCTGTATGCTATATTAATCTACACAATAGGTAATTACTCATTTAACAAGTGTCTACAGTCTAGGGGTGTGCATTCGATTTATCGATTCGATTTTGACCCTTATCGATAATTACTTATCGATTATCGATTTGTACATATGCTTATCGTTATCGTTTCAATAAGGTTTCGATTTTTTCGATTTCGATTTCGATAACAAATAATCGATTCGATTTATCGATAAACCGATTCGAATGCACACCCCTACCAAAAAGTGATAATAATAGATAATTGAGATGTTAATTTATTAATTATTAATTAGTTCAATATTTTAGCCGTCCATATAATAATTGTGTTATTATTATATGGAAAATGAAGGAAACAGCACTTCGAGATATTATACCCTTTTTCTTGTATATCGTGCATTTTATATGACGATTATTTGTGGAGCCTCAACAAATAATGAATCCCATGTATCTTGAAACTAAATAAAGACTTAAATGACTATATAAAGTCTTGAGTGTCTTTCTTTCTTCACTATGCAAATTTGAACTGCACTAATTTGGTCATTTGGACTTAATTAACAAAACAAAAAATTTCCTAAGATGCCTATAATACATTCTTTTAAAAATTGGGTTGTGGTGTCGCGACAGTTAAGAAATTGTAGGTTTTGGTTCAACTCATTACTCATATATACATATAACATATACTCCATTATTGTTCACTGTAATACATATTAATTACAACTACTGTGTTTATTCAAATTCAACAAGAAGAAAAAAGAGAACCATCTACTAGAACACACATTAATCAAAACTGTTTACAAATTATCCATTAGCATGATTATTCTATTCATCCAAGGGCAGGGAAACATACTCGCCAGCAAAATCGCTAGTTTCCGAGTGCAATTTTTCACAGTTTAAGTCCTTGCATTTCATATACAACACCACATTCGCCACAAGATACTGATTCATCATTAGATATCCCATCACTGAAACTAGCGCAGTCCACAGTATCACGCCCAAGCTCATCCATTGAATACCCTTCGCTGCACCCGCAATGACTAAAAACATTGAACCACAAACCATCATTATTCCCATTGAAAGCCCGTAATACAAATGTATCCCAAAAGCTACCCATCTCCGCCCCTTCACCAAATAGAAACTTCTCCTCAATGATTCGTAACCCCATTTGGATTCCACTACTGCTATCACATAAGCTAATGACCAATTAATCTGCAACCATATCAAAACTGGCACGAGCACAATCAACACAGGAATAACCAAAAACAAGAAGTGATTCGAGTCGTATTTAAGTTCAATTAATCCAAGAGTTTGAAGAACCTGGACTAAAAAAACAAAGACTAGAGTGAAAACGAGAGTGATTGAAATGAAAATGGCTTCCGAAACGATAAAGGTGGAGAGAAGGGGGAAGAAGGAATTTCTGATAGATTTAATAGACGAAACGAGGCTGATAGGTCTACCATAGGATACATGAAGCGCGCTGTATGTAATTGTGGCTACAGCAAAGAGGAAAAGAAGGACCAGAAACAGAGTATATACTATGGGTACAATAATTTCGAATTTTGAAAGGAAAAGATGGGACTGAGGAAATTGAGTGAAAGTGGTGAAATCGTAATCGGGATGAAAGAGAGCGAGGTGGAAAGAAGGATAAACGGCGAGAGAAAAAAAGATAGGCAAGAGGAAGAGGATTGAAAGAGTATGAAAATGGCCACAATTTGCTTTCAATATGCTCCTTTTTGATTCTCCGATCTCTGTCCAAAGGCTACGATTTTCTGTAGAAGCAGACGACATTAGAGCTAAAGATCGATGAAGAAGGAGATGATGATCGCTGTGAAATGGAAAATGAAGAAAACTATATTTCTTNCATATATTCCTTCTGGTGAGAGAGCACTTGCATCAGATGTCAGGACTAGTCCAATAAGCTCATGATGTTAGATGTTTCAGAACCTAGTCGCGTTCTAGCTTGCACGGTTTCTCGGTCTTCCTTTATGAGCACATCAGAGAGCGCCAGTAGGATGACCCTCATTTTCTTGTTCTTAAGGACATGGTGCAGAATGGTGGTGCCAACCAGGTTACTATCAGAGATAATAGGGTATTGCGGATGCAGGGTCGTATTTGTGTGCCCAATGTGGATGGGGTTCGTGAATTGATCATTGAGGAGGCCCATAGTTCCCAGTTTTCCATTCATCTGGGTGCCGCCAAGATGTACCAGGATTTGCGGCAGCATTATTGGTGGAGAAGGATGAAGAAGGATATAGTTGCATATATAGCTCGGTGTCTGAATTGTCAACAAGTAAAGTACGAGCATCAGAGGCCTAGTGGTTTGCTTCAGAGGCTTGAGATTCCTGAGTGGAAGTGGGAGTGTATTACCATGAATTTTCTTATTGGGCTCCCCCGGACTCAGGAGAAGTTGACGCAGTATGGGTTATTGTGGATAGGTTGACCAAGTCGACACATTTGCTTTCAATATGCTCCTTTTTGATTCTCCAATCTCTGTCCAAAGGCTACGATTTTCTGTAGAAGCAGACGACATTAGAGCTAAAGATCGATGAAGAAGGAGATGATGATCGCTGTGAAATGGAAAATGAAGAAAACTATATTTCTTTGACTACTAGCTATTAGTAATTAGATCAAACATTCAAACAATTCAACACGCTTGACCCCCCCCCCCCCACCACACACAACCCCCACAAAAAAAGAAAAAAATTCAAACACGCGCATAGAAAATTTCTTCATTTACCAAGTCGGGATATTAATATTTGGTCCATATATTAAAACTGAAGTTTCAACCTTCAAGGTACTTTATATGGGATTTAACTTACGTGCGAAGTTGTCAGCTTTATTATTAGAGTTAATAACCCTAAAATCGCCCTAAACTATTATATTTTCGGCAGATCGCTTAGCCCCGTTCATCTTCGGCGCAAGAGCGCTCGATCAGTGAGCTACTCTGTTTCCTACTTAAATTATTCGGTGTCCCCAAATTTCTTCTGAATTATATTGCCCTTCATGTTAAAAATACCTCATTGCATTCTTTGAGGTATGTGTAGTACACTCCTAATTATTTAAAAAATATGCCATGTAGCACTACACATATCTATTTAACTCAGCCTAAAACCCGCCTAAACTATCATTTTTTTGTCAATTACCTACTTAAACTATTTGGTGTCCCCTAAACCCACCTAAACTATATTTTCCTACATATTAAAACTCGATGTTGGACTTTTAAAGGTGGTTCTGTCTAACTATATTAACTTACGGTTTGTAAAAAGATTTTTACATATTTTATTCATGATATATTACTCTAGGATGATTGATTAATTTTAGGAGTTTTGGCCAAAATATTATTTAATGTAATGTGTTAATTTTAGGTTTAATTGTGAATGTGCTTTATGCTAAACTCCAATTTAATATAAGTCCTTATTTATATTCACTTTATAGCACATTACAAATATAAATAAAGGCATATTGTGTTGCATTTATTAAAAATTATTTTATAATACATGAAAAAGATTACACAAAATAAATTTTCTCAAATAAAAAATTAATTGGCGAACAAGTACATTCTCTAATTCCAGATTACATAAAGAAAGTTCAAGATATTCAACTTTATTCTGTTGCGGCCAAATGCACTCGCAAGTATACGCGGTCGTCAAGTAATAAAGTGACTAAAAGTCGGATGTCGAACCCACGAGGACTTGTGATTAACTATTAACTAAATTAGACTATCCTAATTATCTAAACAAGAATTAAACCTAGAAATTTTTGATTCTAAACTAACTAAAGTAAAAAAATAAATAATGAACTCTGAACAAAAGGATAGAAGACTTTTATGTTATCAATGCGAGGAAAACGATCTAGGGTCATGGGCTATCTAACATTCCTATTGTATTCTTCAATTGAATTGACTAACTAATTTATCTAGTTTATTGGTTAACAGGGTTAATATTGCTCATAAGAATCTGTCAAGTTCTTACTCGCCTATTCAAACTAACCTAACGCCTATATGTCTATGGAGTTAGAGTCAACAAGAACGCATTTATAATTCCTGTAAATCAACCTAGCAAGGCAATTAGGTATATATCTATCCTAACCGCGAATCCATTCCCCGATGTCCAGGTTCAAGAACTTGCTCAACTCAATCCTATATGCAATCTAGAATTTCCACTTTCGAGTTCCATTCTAGATTCGTATATAATATTCAATTGGTGATCAAGCAATCAAATAATTAAGTGCAGGATTAAATAAATAAACTAATACGACAAATCAAGAAATCAAAATCAATATTATTCGAATAACAATATTCATGAAAGAACCACAACCCTAGAACGTGAAGTTTAGTTCCACATAGACATGGTAGCCAAACAATAATTCATACAAAGAAACATAAAATTACTAAGTTTGGTGGAAGAAAGATGGAACTTGATGAATTCTGGCCTCCATGGCGGCTCTATGCTTGTGTTTTTTTCTCAAAAACGTCCTCCTCCCTCCAAAATAGGTTTAGGTTGGCTTTTATATGAGTTAGGGGTGTCTTGGGTCAAAATAACCGAGTCCCGATCGAAATAGGACATGTTCACGTTTTGAGCGTCCAAGGCAGCGTGGGGCGCTAGCCCTGGCGCTCAATTTTTTAGCATTCTGTTTTGAGCACCACAGGTAGTGCTCCATGTTGCCTGTGGCCCTCAAATGTGCACTTTTGCCTTTTCTTCCCATTTTCGGACCGATTCGCGCGCTTTCGTCCCAAATCGCATCCGAATGATTCCTACACATAGAAATACCATAAATTAGTACAAATCATTATATTATACATCCATAATCTACTAGATATGAGCACAATGTGAGGCAATATATATCAAAATATGCATACGTTAAGCCAAACATCAACACCCCACACTTAAACGTTGCTCGTCCTCGAGTCAACAAATAACTCTATCTTTGAGCACTCTACATATTTAATGCCTTTGAAGCACACTATACTAATGACTATGGTTGGTAGCAATAATTAAACCTTAGCATATGCACTCACATACACTTCCCTTTACTCATGCCATACTTCAAAATATTCACAACAAAGACAACATGCTCATAACAATCATAGCCTCAAAAACCAACTCAATGTCACAATGCACTCATGGCTTGAACATCCAACATCATAGGGAGAAGTCTAATAACGTTACCTATCCCTCATGAGACCATGTGCCCTCACAACAAGAACAAGAGAGCAAGTTCAATCCACACATTCGAATCTCATGATCAAATATATTTTAATGACTCACAACTCACTCTCACAAAGAAGTCAAATGCATGCAATTGGTACCATAGGCTTGCCCTTAATGTAAATCTCTACTAATGTAAGCTCGCTTGATCTAAAATCAATTAAGACTTTTCGTGGTTGTGATGTGGGCTAAGGGACGGGAAGGATATATTTTAGGAATAGTGACTCAACCTTTTAAGCACTTTAACACATCACATGATAACTTAAGCGCAAATTCCTCAATCCACTTCAATTTCACAAACAAGATCACCCCCAAAAACGTTCCCTTCTTCTTTAATCACTATCGTCATTTACACTCCACTAGCAGAAACAAGATATTTATTCAACTACATTTTTTCTTTCTCTTTTTTCAGATTTTGTTTTCTTTTTCAATTTCCACTAGTGGCGTATTCTTTTACAAAAACAAGTGCACATTTCTTTATTTCATTGGTTCCACTCCAAAGCCACCCCACACTTAGTCCCTTCTTACTTCTTTTAGCGCTCATTTTCTATTAAAGTGCTTTAAGAGGTGAAAGGATCAAAACAATATCAATTAAGAATAAAAAGGGTATAGGCTTGTAATGTGGGTGCCAAATAAAATCTATAGGCTCAAAGGGAATAACTAGGGATAATTTTGATGGTAAGCAATAAGCTCAAAAAGATCAAAGAAAGCCTAAAATCATTTCTCAAATCGAGCATCACCTAAAATTTGCTTCGAATCACATACTGGGCAAGTTCTAGACACAAGTAAAATACGTAGACTACACAAAAACCTCACCACACATGGCACAAGACTCACTAAGGATGATTCCATTCCGACCCTCAAAAAATGTAAGTATTCACAAAGCCACAAGATATTAAGCATTAAGCGCAAAGTTAACACAAGTCAAGAAAACGAGAAATAGTCGTCACAAAACATGCTATTCAATATATAAAGGCATCAAGATTAATATCAAAATATAGGGAAGATACTACACATGCCAAAGCCTAAATATGTTACTATCAAACAAGTCAAGGCGCCTAGGAATCTCATCTTTCTTCCTCCATTTATTTCCTAAATTTTATCTACTCTAAAAGAAAAAACTACCCACTTCAAATTACATCCCATGGAAAAGAACCGATGCACAAAGAAAAACCACGGGAGATTATTGATACAAAAAAAAAAGACATGTTTTTGTGTTTTTCTATTTTAATTTCTTTTTTGTTTTGTTTAGACTTCATTTCCCTCAAGAAAAGTGTCCACAAAATCCATCGTCGGGAAAAGTCTAAATTTTCTACTCTTTTTTTTCAATTTTCATTTTTTGTTCAAATATTTTTTTTCTTTACATAAAATCTACTACACTAAGAAAGAATACTACAACTAACCTAGGATAGCACAAAAAATTATCCAAACAATCTCCTCACCCCACACTTAAAATTGTGCAATGTCCAATGCACACTGTAAATAACAAGAGGGTAAAAGAGACTCCCTGGTAGGCCAAAGGCCAAAACGTTAGCAGCTCACGGGATACTCAGACTTCTCCCAGGTATGATCCTTTGTGCGGGCACCCCACACTTAGTTCCAACCACACTTTTGCATACTTCCTATGGCTTTGCTCCCTATGCTCAAAATTCTACAAAATAATACAACACTACAAAAATAATACAATAAGAAAAAAAATCAAAAATAAAAGAAAGCAGTAAAGCTGGGTTGCCTCCCAACAAGCGCCTAATCTAAGAAATACTTTTTTCCTCCACCTCGAACTTGTGAATTGTACCCCTAACATGGCATCCAGTCTGCGGCTATGCTCCAGTGCTGGGGCTACAATGATAACCAGTCCAAGTAATAATTTTTTCACTCTGCACTTCTTGGCCTTTAGATGAGGAATGTAATTTTTGCTTTTTGGCACAACAAATTCAAGAATATAGGCACTTTCATCCTCACTCTTTGACCCCCTCATTGGCTTAGATGGCTCGATTACTATCTTACTATCTAAACACAATGTGGAAAAATGATTGGAATGAGGTCGAATGCGCCATAACTCATGAATTTTACTACTATTTGCATCCCCATATTTACACACTTAAGTCTCCCAAAGTAATGTTATCTACGCCCTCATATGACTCTAGATCACTCTTCACAACATTGGCATCCTCAAGAAAAACATGGTCTAATGATTGGTATTCTCGTTTTAGCTCCTCAATTTGGTCTAGAAGATTTTTCTCGGCTTCACACAACTCATCATTAAATTATTGGGCGTTACACGCATCAACCTTCGCACTCAAATCTGCATCTAAGTTATGCACAACCAAGCTAAAATTATCAATTTTATGTGCAAGATCATCTCTCTCCTTAGACCAATCATTCACCAATGTTGTTAGAAGACAACGTCGTTCCTCATAT